TTATTATTTTAAATATTATTTAATGTTTAATATTTTAATTTATTATTTTTCTGGTAATTGTTCATTCAGAATTAATTCATTATGTATTTTTTTTTTTTATTTTTAAATATTAAACAATAAAAATTATCATGTTATTCTAAAAAAAAATGTCCAGAAAATAAATTTGTCGTGGATGTTTTTAAAAAATCATATGAGCGCATTTTTAGTATTGTCTTGATATGAATATTCATTCAACCATAGTAATGCTTGAAATAAGTAAAATAAAATAGATCCCAATTCATCCTTGCCTATTTGTGAATATTCCTTATATCTCCAAAAAGAAGCAATTACTTTTTTCGTCAGAGAATTAAGGTAACAATCCGTTATTATTATATTGGTGGTAATTGGTGGTAGAAATGTTACATATAATTAAATAATAATATTATGTTTAAAAAAAGATTATTATTATTATTAAATTAATCAGAAAAGATATCTTAATAACCGTTTCGTTTGACATAATAAAAGCGCGAGAAATTGGGTCACGATCAGTTGCTACATAAAAAAATAGCACTTTATTAAGATAGAATTGAATATTAATTTTGTTCTTGTTTTTGTTATTCTTTTTATGTCCTTCGTGATGAATAATCTCAAACATACATATTGATAAAAAATACAATCCTTAAAAGGTGAAATCGTACCAGATGGTGTGCTTATTTCAATGAAACAAATCCTAAAGACTACTGTTTTCTGGATTTCTACAAGTTTCGTTCGAAGCAAGTTGACTTTACCTTCTCTTTCAAAAAGAGGCATACAAACTAGCAGTTCTGGATCTTTTCGTGAATAGGGATTCAGAGGAAATGAAAGAAGTTGCTAATCAAGCCTAAATAGATAAAAAAATTCTGAATATGAAATGAGAAAATTTTTAAGGTATTTGCTTGATTTCATATTATTGTTCACTGCATATCCGATTAATAAAGGGAGCTCTCATAGATATGGGAATGCTTTTCACCTTATGGATGGAATGTCCGCTGTGAGAAAATGAAACCCTTATAAAACTACGGTGACAATGGAATGCTGTACACCTTATGGATGGAATGTCCGTTGTGTGAACGAACTAGTTAGGACATACTCTTATTGACGTTAATTTCTTTCTATTTTTGAGACTCGTCGTGAAACTATCCGCGATTTTGATGCTTTTTTGAAAATAATTGGACTGAATAATCAGCTACAGGGTTGGCTACAGAATGTAGAGGTTGTTTGTCTATTTAATAATGTTAGGATTTATATTAGCATCTCCGCAGAAACCCTTAAGATTGCCATTGGAAATATTAACTATACCGTTGAAAACATAAATAACATTACTCTATACTAATATAATATTCACAGAAATTATAAGGAAATCAGATTTTCAATTCGACGTCTGAATCAATAATCGAGCTTGCGAAAATGATAAAGAACCATCATCAACTTCTCCAAATAAAGTTACATAACTTAAGTTTATCCCCCTTTTTGCAATTTTGATTTTATCATTAGTATTGGTCGACAACAAATCTCTAATGCCAATCCTACACTGTAAATAAATGAATGCTTATATATATAATAACGACTTTTTATTTTCGATTTCAACTTTTGATATTCATATTCAATTTCTCCAAATAAATAATATTAGTAATTAGTAAAAATTAATAATAAAAATTAATAAAATTAATCTCTTCGTTGATTTTTATTTATTTTTTTTATCATGAATTTTGTTTCACTGGAAAATATTAAAATCATTAAACTTTTACGATCCTCCCGAATCAATATAGAACATGTCAGATCATTGATAGTTGAAGCAACAAGATAATTCTAATCATGATAATATAGATGGAGCCATTAAAGTGTTGCACTTATTGATTGTTGTATTAGAGAATTATCAAAGTTAATATAAAACATTTTTCGGGACGTGCGCTTATACATGATTTAATTACTGAGAAGTTGGCATTTGTGGATATTAAGTATGAGAAAAAACAACCAGGAGAAAAAAACACGCAAGTATTATTGATGGAAACAACAATGAAAACAATTATAATAATAATTATAACGATAATTACAACAATAATTATAACAATGACGATAATGATAAGAACTCATGGAAACTTTCGAATCAACAACAAATAATAATTCAAAAGATAATAAATTATTCCAAAGAATATTATCGTGAGTGTGAATGTCAATGAATCCTCCAAAGATATTAAGATATTAAAGATATTAGAAATTCCGCGGAATTTATTTACTAAGATTAATTATAACAACAATAATGTTTTTTTCAGATTTTAAAAAAATATATTGCTCAAAGAGATGATTTTTTTGTGATTCCTTTTCAAGATATTATTAATGATTATGATGATTACAATAATAAAGACAATATAAATGTAAAGATAATATAACCAAATAGCATTCTCTCTAAAAAAGTGATTTACGGAATTTTCGGGGGCATTATTGTTATTATTTTGATAGCAGAAATGTTATTTATTATTCATTATATGAATTTACATATTATGATGTATTTACTCATAAGATAGACAAGATATAAAGTGAGTGGTTAATCAACATTTATTTATTTTGCATGCAAAATAATTTCTATTTATAACATTTAGCTGTCTCAATTCTGTAAAGAATTATTATTATAATTATTAATATATAAACCGGCTAAATTAATTAGCAAAGAAATGAATCCATTATACGTCTTAATATAGATATAATTACCATTTCACCTTTAAGAATTGTATTTTTTTATCAATATGTATGTTTGAGATTATTCATAAGGAAGAATGACATAAAAAAGAATATCAAAAACAAGAACAATATTATTCCATTCCATCCTTAAAAAGCAATAATTCCTATATTGGGTAAAGATTTAATTAGAATTCTATTTTCGTCACAATGATCAACCCCAACCCCATTA